CTGGAAATGAATAAAACCCTGAGCAGCAGACAGGTGGTGAGTGACTCTAGTGGCCCTAGTGATTGTGGCTCATGATATTGCTCTGGTTAAAACATGGATGTGTAAAATAAGTAGCAGAATGCACCAGATTCTTTTAGTCATCAATTCATGAGATAGGAATCTTGTTAAACTCGGGTGCTTCCAACGATTCGGAGTACTTAAGCAGTTTGAAATTCTTTAAAACAGAAATATCGTGGCTGTGAAAGGTGGGCTTGCTGTTGTCCAGAGAAAATATCTGGTATGAAATGGGCTAAAAAGAGGGTAATATGCACTGTGACACAATGAAGGATACTCAAGAAAACAGTTGTGGAACTATCTCGAACCATTGTGCACATATCCATGTCTATCATTTTGCTAATGGCTTATTGGAACACTTTAATGCAGTCTGGACAGATATGCAACGCAGCCAGAATTTTCCACACTACTTAGAGGCTAAACTTCATAAACTGCTTATGGTTTTAGACACCATGTGAGGAATTGAATGGTATTGATGTGGGATGGATTTTGTTACAAGCTGCAACACTCATCTCCTCATTTTAGAGGAAGTGTTATTCATTTTGAATCTCCTAAAATGTGGATAATGCTAAATGAGGCTATTCATTTGAGCAAAAAAGTGCTTTTCTGTTGTATATCTGCTCACAGGTTTTAACAAAAAAAAATCAAACCAACTCAAGTAAAACTTGAATTAATTGATTTATGAGAAGAATTAAAGACTATTTTTATCCTGACAATACATTTATTTCTATGCTGTTATCTGCCCCTGCTAGGATTCAATCCTGTTTGCTCACAGGCTCAGAACTAACGCAGTACGATGCCCTATACAGTGGCGAGCTCCACTGTGCCCAAAGTCTGTCTACTGCTGTGGCAGAATTCTACACAGTGTGGGTTTTAAGAGTGTCACTTCTGCAACATTTGTACTGCTCTGACTCCTGTTACATATGAAGTAAATGCTGTTGGAAGATCATACAGTCAGATTGTGAAACTCTCCAGTCCCAAGGACTGATCCATCAAATTGGGGACAAAAAGGCTTTTTCTATTGTTTAAACATTTTGAAAGCATTTTAATGATGCAGTCAAATTCTAATGATGACAAAATGAGCCAGTGAATATGAAGGAATAGTGTTTTAATACTTTAGCTTTAACGCGCCTGACTGAGGAAATAACAGTGCTGTCTGAAGATAAGCGCCGTTTAGAATATCTTTTCTAGAATGAGTAAAACTGTGCAGTTTTCTCAATGAAGCCTAAAAATGACTTTTACCATTTTTACATCCCTTGAGTTTCCATCTGTTTTTAACTCAAGATCCTAACAGTTTGCCTCTTTTATTGCTTATCAACAATCTTTAGAAAATGTATCAATACTTAAATCTTTTTCATAATTAGACTCTCAGTTTTCCCTTTTTGTCCAGTATTTGTTTACATTTTTGCTGCCTGCAATCAAAAAAGTGTTTCCGCTAAACATTATACTAATAAGGATACTAATACTGATGTCAAGCCTAAACTTGTTGTAACAGTCTTTGTGCAAGCAGTCAAGTGGGTTTGTTACTGTTTGCATCAACAGTGCATTAACTCTGTGAAATGGTAAGATTAAGCAAGCTCCCTTTTCTCATGTATTCAGTTGTGGTTCAAATGTGAACATAAAATTCAAATAGTCTTAAGATATATTCATCTCTCTCCCAGTCACATTTACCACCTACTACACTCCATTCAGCACAATCAAACCAACTTTACCTCTTTATGATTGTCAAAGCTGTCAGTTTTGAAGTGGTTGAGAAAGCATGGCGGTTCAGTTACACAGCACAGAAAATGCAACAGACAATGCGCTTTTTTCAAAACATAATAGCTGTGTTTTCAATTCAGTCATCTACTTTTTTGCTTTTCAGTCATTTTTATTTCTTTACATATTTAGTTTGTTTTTTTCTGGACGTTGATCACCTAAGTGAATTATGAAAAATAGGCATAAAAATCTTTTTTCAGTCTTAACTGTTTAATTTTATTCTAGAAGCCAACTGGAGGAAGGGTTTTTTTTATTTAACTTGGTTCTTTTAAGGTCAGAATTGGAGATAAGCACAGCAGAAAACGAAACTGTCAATATTGTGGACTAAATGAAAGGAAACTTAGAAGTGAACCTTTGAAGACATATATGCAATTTCAGACTTAACCTCTTAGATTTATCTTATTATAGAAATATAGTCCTTGTATTATTTGTGTTCCATTAGACTTTCTTCCAGTCCCTCTATGATTTGTGATTCGGACTTTGTAACATTTTTACAGGATTTGATTAGCTGGGATGCACTACTCCAAAAAATAAAAGCTCGGCTGTGTAGGATTTATCTTGTATACAAAGATTATGTAACCAAATCCTCAACACAATAGGAGGGTTAATACTCTACAGGATAAAAGGCCATTTCATTAAATGCCAGATTTAATTAAATATATATTCCTACATCTCAGTGTGCCTGATGCCAGCCAAAACCCCCTTTTAAAGTGGCTAAATGTCCTGAAGAACATCTGTCTGAAATGACTAATAACTATGCATATATAGACTACAATGACATTCTAAAGCTAAGGCGAGAGGGATAAGAAAGGCCTGGATTCCCCTGTTTTGCCTGCTAAGTGAAGAGCTAAAATGAAACAAACTCCTTCCTTGATTATATGACTCATTGGGAGTTGCAGTCCCTTTTTTAATTAGAGGTTTCTTTTCCTGAGGAATTTGAGACCCTGGTTTTACCAAGTCACACCCTTTCTTCTGTCATCGCTAGAATGATTTCTGTATCCCCTGGTCCCTTAAGTAACCAGGCTGTGCAAGTTTGAAGTCGGTGCTTTTCACAAAATTTGTGGCAGACAGTCCGAGGGTCACACCTTTCTCAAAGTTTCTGTGGTTATTCTTTTACATCACGCGGAAAATAACCGGTCATCTGACCTTTCGTCTGGTTCATACTTAACATCCTGGAAGAGATGACTGTTGGGGAACATTATGAGCTAGAGGTACATCTGTGACCCCTCTCTTCAAGGTGTGCTAAAACCTATCAACCCTTGTATTCAGGTGTGGCCAAAAATGATATTCAAGCCTGCATTTTTCACCATTTGAGAATGCTCTGTATATACTTTTATCAGTTTTACAAAGCAATTTACAAGGGTTACATTTTTTTAGCATACAAATTTTGGTACCTATTTATACAGGTGGGTTTGCAGAATCAGTATGGGAAAAATGTGTTGCTCAAAGGTCCAGAAGCAGGTTCCCCAGTGGGATTTTGAACCCTCTGCATGAAGCAATGCAATTTAGAATTAATTATTCACACCTGCCAGGAATGGTTTGTGAACTATTTCTTTATTTCAATGGTTCTTCTCTAAAAATGCAAGCTTGTTTAATTTCAGTGGGTTGATCTTTTCTTTCCAGGAACATTTGTTAAAGAACACCAGTTAAGCTATGCTTATATTGAGGTTTCTGAATTTTTGGGGGGGGGTTTCTTAAGAAAAAGGGTAAAATGTCTGCCATGCCCCTGAAAAATAATAAAAACATAGCAGTTCATTTATACATGTCTAATTTTGCTTGCAGCTGCCTAGTTTCGTATTTATTGTATAAACTGTATGTAAAATGTCTATTGTACTATAATCCCATAGGACTGAGGAGGGCATGTGATTTGATCAAATGTCCACGTGTGCCTAAGTTTTGAAATTGAATAGTTTCTCTGAATATTTTATTTGCCAGTGTAAAAGATTTTATTTCAAAATGTTAGGTATTAACTTGTGATAAGTATTTGAGCTGTTATCTTCAGAAATCGCACAAAACCTTCATAAAAACTGTCTGCACAACTCTTCTTGAATATGAGAAAGGGAGGCTGGTTCTGGTTTTTCTCGTGTGAGATAGTTTCTTACAGGTACACCACTTTCTCTTTACAGCTAAAGAGGTTTGATCAGCCAAGGTACGGCAGTGGGCATAAGCAATAAAACCCCACCCCCAATCCTTCTGTACATCTCTTGTTTCTTCACTGTTTTTGACTGGCAGTGTACATCACTTTTGCTGTTGCCAGGTTTTGAAGTCCAAGTCCATATGGTGGTCTCTGTAAAATCCAGCCATACAAACTAGCATCTTATTCGCATTTCAACTGTTTGATTTAGCCCAAATCTGGGAAGGCTTAACCGGTATCTGAAGACAATTTAGGCATTTTCTCAGTCATAAATATACTAGATTTTAAAACCTAAGTATTGCATTTCCTCATCAACACTTGTATTTTAATAGCAAAGATGGGTATTTTACTATGATGTAGAACTGCTTAGAAACAAAAGAAGGTACTTAAATTCTTAAATATTTAGATAGTCATGACAATATTCAGATAGCATGCTTAAGCTATATCATATTTACCTGGAAACATTGCATGCTTATCTATTCTTTAAAAAATGCTGTTGAAAAAATTTGAAATTAAAAATGAAACTCCTTTGGTATACAGGATATTAACAATTTCATAGTTTAATGTGCAATAGAATACTTAGTTTGCTGCAGTGTAGGACTGTTATAATTATTTAAATTATGGTTAAATAGTAAGGAATTTTACATTTCATGCTAATTACTTGTGATTAGTTTCAGTTCTTCACCTTACTCACTGGAATCACTGTTCTTGGCTGACTCTGAGACTATATACAATAACTATATAACTGAGACTAAAGATTCTTATAAAAATTAATAAATCATGAGTTCTCTGAAAAAGGTTGACAGAGGGATAGAGGTCAATATAAATATGGGCAACATACAGAGTCCAAATACTCTTATTGTGAGAGTATTATTTTTCAGCACTTGAAAAAATTAACAGGCTTTATGGTAAGGGATGGTAGATTAGTACAAGCTAATCTAAACCTGAGCTGTTCAAAGATCCAGGTATCAGTGTAGTATATGGGATGTGCCTGTCAGTTGTTACATTGTTGATATTAAGTAATTGGAAGCCATTGTCTTCTCTCTACTTGCAGCTCATTATCCTAGAGGACTACGCAGATCCCTTTGATGCCAAGCAAGCCAGCGGGACCCAGGCTGTTCAGGAGAAAGTCACAGAGAACGATGGCTACATGGAGCCGTATGAAGCTCAGAAAATGATGGCTGGTAAAACTGCTCTCTATATTTATCATTATGGGAAGCTTTTTACCGTCAGAAGGCGCCAGATTGGAGCAGGGTAGCCTAAGTTAAGTCTGTATGTATTTTTGTTTGTGTTATTCCAAACACAGCCAGTTATAGCATGCATAGGCTTAATTGTGCAAGCAAACACTTCTGATTTGCACTGAAATAGGCATTAGTAACTGTCCGTAGTGCAGAGGTTTATCTTTTAAGTCATTGAATATCTACATGCACTATTTGTTTTTATTAAGATTGATATAGTATATTGGCATATCACTTTAAGAAAGTTTTTGGTCCTTTCCAGATCTATAAAGGTTAGTACTTTAAAACCAAAAACTAAAGCTACCTCAGAAAGTTGCATCATTTCTGAAAGTTAATTTCCTGTCCGTATGCATTTCTAGGTGTTTGTTGTCTTAAAAAGAATTTAACAAAACATTTTCTGCAAGTGAGAAAAATACAGATTGACTTCTGATTAAATATTTCCTGTTCATGTCTCTCAAACATAAGCTGGACAAATGAAATGAAATAGGAACAAGTTAAGGTTTATTCCATGCTGAAAAGTCAAATCTATATTACTATATTAGCACTTTTTTTTAACAAATCTAATATACCGTCATATTTAACATGATAGTTTTCATAACCCTTGTTCTAATTATTTTTTACTCTACTTATTTACTCCCATGAATATGTGAAGCTCTTTCTTTAAAAAGGAGACCTCTCAATTCATCAAAGCGAGATGATATCTTGTTTCTAACTGTAGAACCCAAGATTCTAACCTCAGTAGTTGGAATAATAGAACATATTCATCTGATTAGAACATTAAAGATGTCCTTTTAAATTTGATTTTTGATGTAAAGCTTATAGATAATTTCTGTTTCATTTCTGCCCATTGGAACACGATTGGTACAAGCTGGTTATTGTATTAAACTTTTGTATCACTGTTACCACTTTTAATTCAGAATGGTTTTATGGGTTAAAAAATTATTACATATTTTGAGAAATTAAGAAAATATTAAGGCATTCATCTGATTTATTCAGCGCTTTTCACCTTTTTCTAAACAGTCTTTGTTGTTTATTAAAAATCATATCCTTTAAAATCTATACCTAACATTCATGTTGTTTTTCCTGATTTTTAGACCTAAACTTTTTTTAAGGGGAAAAAAGGTTGAAGTATTTGGAACCTTTTGAAACGGATTGTAAGATCTGCTAGGAAAATTTTAATGAGATCTGCAAGTACCAGTTATGTCTCGATAAATGGCTGTAATAGATTCCTTGAGATTGTTTTTTTATGAGAACCAATTTTGTTGTTGTTTTAATGTTATTACAGTACATTTTAATTGAACAAAATAGCATTTTCATTTGATCAATTTTGGCGTTTAACCATGTTCTGCAATATTGTTTCCTTTGGAAGTTCCAAAATGTTTGACACTTTTCCAGTGTGGCCATTACAGAAATGCTTACTGTATACATAGCAGTTATTAATTTTTCTCAAAGAGGTTTTTTATGTTAATCATTTGCCTTATCTACCAAAACTGAGCTCATAGAAGTCCCATTAAAGGGATCTCCAAGTTCCAACTTTTTTAGTGCATGTGGCTTAGCTAACTCTAATGTGAAGCTATATATAATACTGCACGTCTTGAGCAGATACAATCGCAGGGAATTTGAAAGTGTGTTGCATTGAACGCATCAGCCCAGGGGTTAGGGCATCATTCCCCAGTCCCAGAATTCAGAAAATAGGCAAGGGATAGGGGAAATGTAGCTGAAAAATGGAAAGTGGCGAGAGGATTCCTTCTCCCAGAATGTAGAACATGATCATGTACATAAGTGTCTTTGCCTCCACCTACTCCCGCAACATAACCTGGCACCGACCCTAGAATGCAAATGGATTCTACAAAATGGTTCTCTAAAATAAAGCATGAGGCCGCATTTCATACAATTGACCTTACACAGTGTGGCTTCTAACTATGTATGCTAATGTTCAATGTTTTGAACGTTAAGCATGTAATGTGCAGCATATACATTTTCACAATACCATTCTGCAGAAATATCTACACAAATTGTGAATTGAAAATGTAGTGTAAAGTCCTCTCTCACCCTATTACTAAGCAATTAAAGGCTACCATCTGAAGCTGTTTGTTGAACTTTGCATCCTGTTACTTTGCTTTCTCATCCCTTGGTAGCGCCGAGTCTGGCTAATCTAATATCATGAGAACTGAAAGCTCTTACTTTGGTCACCCTATCAAATTTCTCACGGTCAAAGCAAAGATAGTAGACACGCAATATACAGTATCTGATAAAAGTGAGCTATGACCACAGTCCTTTATACTGTGATCTGTAAGGTGCAGCAGACTGTGGGGTGCTGTGTAGTGCCACTTCTATGCGACTCTATCACTACTGTTCATCTTTTTTTCATTTAGATTTAAAACTGGGTTAAAGCTAATAAAACCTGTAAAAACACAGTTTTTCAAAATCCTCCTTCACAGGGTTTAAATGAGTTTTATTCATTGTTTTGTGAAAATCACAGCCCTCTGTGTAGCCTACATTTCAAATTGACATTCAGAATTACAGATTTTCTTCAAAGTTTTTTTTGTTCTTTGGAAATACAGATGGAATGTAGTTTGGTGTGAGTATTGAAGTTCAGTACACTATGATTTCATCATTTTTACATCCATATCTTTTCATTGTTCTTTTATAGTTAGAGTATTTCTTTTCCTTTCCACAGTGTCTTGAAGGCAGTTATTTTAGGAATTCTTAGAACACAATGTAGAATTACATTATACAAAATATCTGCTCTTTGCTAATATTAATCTAAATTCAGTTTGGCTTTGATTTTTTTCTAATGCAAATTGTCTTGCATGCTGCTCAGTTGCTAGTATATGGAGTGTTCTTTAGGTTTAAGTGAAGCATTCTAATCTATTTGTGATGTACCACAAAAGTGTTTTTCAGTCCAGGGTTTCCCATGGTTACTGAATAATTAAAAGAATCTATCCAATTAATCTCTATATCTGATGTTCAAGTAAATCAAACACCATTTCATTTCTTTCAGTAATGGTTTATTACCCCCTGTCATTGCTTTGCATGTCCTCTGCCACACATTCAGAGGATTCAGATTACCCCAAGGTATTTTGGCTCTCAGGCAGCACGTTTACCTGCCATCTGAAACCTGCATCACTCCCTGTCACCTCTGGAACGGAAAACATTCTTCATCTGTTGCGCCAAAAGCAGTTTTTAAATTGCATCATCTGCTATAGATCAGAGGACTTGGTTTTAAATAAAGTCCAGTTTATACCTCTTTTTCAGCATTTCTGGAAACCATCATCCTTTTTCAATTAATTTATAACTCTTTAAAACTGTGTGGAAAATTAAACCTAATTATCACATTTTTTTCACAACAACACCATGTGTGCTGGATAGACTGCTCCCAATAATATGCTAGAATTGCAAAATCCAGTGTGGATGTTTTGTCAGCTCCCAAGCATGCTGTTATGCCCTGTTCTCTGACATAGACATTTTTAAGGTTTTTATAATGAGGTCCCTGGTGGCAGCTTTCCTTGTGTGCATTTTTGTAGAGGCACAGTTTTCTTTTCTCATATTAAGATCTCCACAATTTTGTATAGAGCTCATTATTAATGCATAGCTGCTGAGCTCATAGTTCAGCTTTGCATCATCTGTTGCATCTTTTCCCACACATGAACTTTATGGTAAGGGATGGTTTTGGCTCTAAAAACAGAATTGAAGGTTTTCTAAAATAAATCAAAATGCTCTGGTAGTGTTGTAGGATATGAGTGTGGTCTGTATCTGAAGTACCTCCGTAACCTAAGGCATGTTGAACTGAGAACATACTTGCAGTACATGCCTTTTTCAAATGGGTAGATAAAAGCCCTTTCAGAATGTGGATGATGTTAGCTGTGACATTAGAATGCTCTACTAGATGTTTATAAGTGAAAACATTGCTGAATTGTAGACCCTTGGGACCCACACACCTGCTGGTTATCTTCCCACTCAATTGTCATTTAATTAAGTCCTAAACTTGACTATGTTGCTTGACTGGAGCAGAAAGACGTTGGGGTACTTAAGTTACCTCTAAAATGCCATAGCTAATAATTAACCTCCAGCATGTTTAGAAACTTGAAACAAGTACAGATTCAACCTGTTAGGCCAATTAAGATTTCATGTATGTAACCGAGAGCTCAGCTTGACTGAAAATCACCCAGTGTATGTATTCCCAGTACCAGGGTTGGGAACCATAGTATTCGGTACTGAGGAGCTTGCTCAGAATTAGGAATGAGAAGCTTGTTTTTGTCATGACCACTTTTCCTTGGAGTGGAGCCCAGTACCCACCTTCTAATGATTTATTAACCTGTTGAAGATGTCATGACTTACCAACCTGCAAAGGCTTTCATGTGATTTATAATTGACAGGCAGCCTTCTGGAGCTCCCAGTGTTTGAGATTACAGAGGAAGTGAGCAGTTATTTTTATTTAGCAGACAGCCTTATCCAGGGAGTTTTATAAAACATGCAGTAATACCTAAAGTAAATATTATTATCTTTATTTTAATTAATTCAAACATAAGAAACATACAAATGAACAACAAAGAAAACGGTGAGATGGGCATGTTATTTGAAATGCAAACCCTTTGCAGCAAAGAGAAGAGTCCATACCACATTCATTGAGTTACTAAGTACAGTAAAAAAGGCCACTGTGAACAATGTAGTGCAGTGGTAATGTGTAGTGTTACTCTGCAGACATTGTACTTTTTATGTATTCTTTTTCCTCTGACATTTTTATTTAAAGTAAGAACCGAACAGCCTTGCTCATTTGCCTAGTAATGCTCCTGCCTCCTCCTATATAGCTGTCAGTGCTCGGTTGCAGTTGTCACCTTGTCTTTTTAAAAATGTCCCAAAAGTGGCTAAAGCAATTAGTGTTGTCATCACAAGTCTTTCCTCCTCCTTTCACCTGACTTTTGATATGCATCTTTATTAAAATT